CTCTCTCTCTCTCTCTCTCTCTCTCTCTCTCTCTCTCCCTCCCCCTCCCCCTTCTTTTCCACCAAATTACGTTTTAGCTACATCACAGCGTCATAAATTATTTTTTTCTGCGACGGGCAAATCGGTTATCCAGTTAATTCTTCAAAACTGGATTCCTGGTTTATGTACGGTACTCGTGATCCAGGTAACTTTACGTGTAAGTATAAGCGTATGAGTTTAACGTCCCTTTATCAAAGTAACTGAGATTTGAATAAAGTCAAGTCATGGACAGTACGGGTGCCCCCCCCACCCCCACCCAGGGCAGTGCTACTGACTGAAGTTGTCTTTAGACCATTCCCAAAGGGGGGATATTAACATGTTCTTATGCACAGTAGAATTGTAAATGGGCTGATTTATAAACCAATGTCATGCTCATACTATGCTGGAACAACACAGGGGGAGCTGCTGTTTTTTCTTTCCTCATCCTTACTATCGTCATTTTCCCTCTACTTCTTCTGTATGTTTGTCACTCTCTTGCGAACTGCTATTTCCGGGGTGCCTTGATAGTCGAAGCAGACTTTGTGCTGTTGAAGCTAGAGAGAGGTGAGCAGAGTAAGCCCGATTCCTGGTTTGGACTTCTCCGTTGACATCCACCCCTTGGCGCTCATACGACCTTACGCAGTTGCGAGCGCCGTAAAACCTCACTCACTAAAACAAACGGACAGTAGGGTCGTTGGATATACCAGAGCAGCTGACAACCGAACCAAACAATCAGACACAGTAAGTTCAAAATAACACCCCCTCCTTGGCTGACTGGTTTTTCTCGTTCTAGAAAATTTCTCAAACGGGATCTCGACCAAAGATCGTGTATAACAAGATAGTTCACTTTTCTCTTCGAGCCAATTAAAAAAAGTGTCTTCAAAATTCGGTGGCGCTCTCTTCGAAAAAGTGCGGACTTTGTGATCAGAGTTACCCTCCTTGTGTGAAAAACAATAAAAGTGAAACTAAAAAATTGTGCTATTCCCATTCTTCTTCTGGAGAAACGAAAGAGAGCATCAAAACAAAGACTATAGCGCCATCTGAAGCAATGCGCGGACTTCTGTGGACACATTTTTGGTTGAGTGAACTAACTTGTTATGTACGATCTTTGCTTCGTCTCCGTCGGTTATTTACAAACAAGTACACCTAAAATCCGGCCATCAGGAAATGAGAGCTAGCCCAGTTCAAGGAATGGCGAAAAACAAAAGGCCTGCAAAAACTTTAAGCTGGAGGTCGCTTCATCAAGTCTTAATCTTGCTGACAAGAAACACGTAGACTGTCATTTTCCCCAGTTAGAAGTTAGGACTGCCTCTCCCCTCGACATCTAACGATACAAGAGGGAGAAAAAGTAAATAAAGTAAGGAAGTAGCAATATTTATCATAATCACCATCATCATTGTAAGTAGCAGGGAATAAAAAAGGGTTAAGACTTTGTAGATTTTTCAGTTTTAATAAAGGTTCAACGTTTCACCCTGTAAAGGGCTTTGTCAAGAACACGATACAAAAAATAAAATCATCATCATCATCATCATCATCATCATCATCATCATCATCATCATCATCATTATCATCATCATCATCATCATCATCATCGCCCCTACCTTCATCCCGACAGCCGCCAGGGCAGGCATAAGCACCAGGCTGATCTTGTCCCCCACTCCCCCTGTGCTGTGCTTGTCTACCAGGATGTCCTTCCATTCCTCAGGCCACGTGAGGCACTCGCCAGAGTTCACCATCTCTTGGGTCAAGGTCGTGACCTCGCGGGTGGACATTCCTCGGAGGAATATGGCCATGAGCATGGCTCCTGTGTGGAGAGAGAGAGGAGGAAGAGGAGAAGGGGGAGGGGGGAGGAGGAGGGGGAGGAGGAGGAGGAGGATGAGGAAAAGGAGGAGGAGGAAAAGGAGGAGGAGGGAGGAGAGGAGGACGATGAGAAAAAGGAGGAGGAGGGAGG